ACCTGGCACACCTCTGTTGATCATGCCTGTGCAGAAATGGGTGTGGTAAAAGCAAATTCAGTTCTAGATATTCTCTTTGGGAATAGCTTCTGCCAGGACTGAGCATTCTTTTCTCTCTTGGTTTCAAATTTTGCTTGATGGAGTCCTGCTAGGGTGCTACTAACAGAGGCTAGATCCAGCCCCCGAGTTTGTCATCTTATATATATTTTTTTTTAATTGTATTTTGCTCTCTTCTTCTTTTTTTCTTTTAAATGACAAGAAGCATGATACTAGAATTGTTGCGAGTAGGATGGTGTTACTAAACCTGGACACTCCATGAGCAATTTAGTTGTTGGGAAATCCCATTGTATAGCTGAAAACTTGTTTTTGCCTATTGTATGCTATTAAAATGAATGTAAATTCCTACCATCAACTTTGTCTTTTTAAACAGAGTAATATGAAAATGGCTTTTTCTAGTCCAGTGGTCTCCAACCTTTTAAAGTAGGAGCTCACCTTTGGCATTTAGAAGCAACCCAAGATCTACTTTGTGCTGCTGCCAACCCTTCCCGCCTCCTCGCCCAGCAGGTAAGTCTGTGGGGAGGGAAGGTGTGGTGGGGGCAGATTGAGGCAGAGGAAGAAAAAAATATTTTGGGGTGCACCTTACTAGCAGGTAAGTCCCACTCGGCCAGGGCCCCACACAGTTTACCCCTGGTCTTGCATCTGGCACCGTCCCTCACCACAGGGGGCCTCAATCTAGCCCCTGCTCCTTCCTCCCCCATGAACAGACCTACTGGGCTGGGGCGTGCATGTGCATGCACACATGCACTCAGCTCCTCACCCCAGCCTGGGATCAACTCCAAGAGGCTCTGAGATCTACTGCAAGAAGCTCTGAGATCTACTGGTGGGTTGAGATCCACTGGTTGGTGACCACTGTTCTAGTCTAAAATAAGTGATTTATTGTTTTATAATATATTTATATGTTCCCTGGAGGCTGTCTTGTAAAAGAGTGTCATCTTCACTTCACTTCGTCAAAGAAACATGTTGCTTTTGCTTTGGTGCTGTGGTTGGGCTTCTTTGCAAGCTGACACTCTGGGAGAAGAAAACATGCTTTGGAGAACACTTGACTCTGCTAAAAAGAACACCTAACGGCATATTTCCTTCTCCTTTCCAGGCTATTCTGGTTATTAGATTTGTGTAAATATATAAAGAGTGTAAAAGGTGCATTGTTGTTAGTTGGCACAGCACAGCCTTGTGTACCAGGTGCCAGGCACAGGCCTCTACCTACCCCTATGGTTTCCCCCACTGCCGTCATCAGTGGTGCCCACCCTAGCCCTACTCGTAGGTGCTACCTGAACCACCAAACTGTAGGGGTGCACCAATAGAGATTTTGGGGGCTGATATCAATAATGGATTTTTAAGGAGGCATATCAGCCTATACCAATCTGATTTCCAATACAACTGCATGCAGCTGATAAGTTTGTGGTGGTGGATGAGGAGAGGGAAGAGAAGGGGCATGGGGGGGCAGATCAAAGCCCTCCCTACAGTGAGGGAGGAAGTGGGGCAGGGGCTGGGGTAGGTGCTGCTCAGCTGGGGTGGGGTGCAGGACAGAACTGTGGCTTGTCCAGGGTGCATGGGGCAGGGCGTGTGCCCCTGGATCTGCGCATGGGACAGGGCAGGGCAGGCTGCAGCAGTGGCTCTGGGAGGGGACTATGGGTGGGAGTGCTGCAGCCACCCCAAAATTTACTGTAGCCCCCCAAATTCCCCCTCCTAGTGCCCTGAATACAACGCAGCCCGCCCCTGCCCTGCCCTGTGCGGATCCGGGGCACACGCCCCCCCATGCCATCCCAGATGACTGATGTGCAGTGGCAAGAGCCACCCCCTCTCCCTTCCTGTGGGGGCCCCCCCCCGATGAGCTGCAGCTCTGTGCCACTCCCCCACAATCCCAGCTGGGCAGTGCCTGCCCCAGCCTCGTTCTCTCCCTCTCTGCAGGGGGGCCTTGATCTGCCCCCCTCCCATGTCCCTCCCTTTTCATCACACCAGACTTAACAGATGTATGCAGCTCTTCACGCTGCTGGGTGTGCTCCTCACTGTCTATGTGCTGCACTACCATTTATCAGCCAGATAATTGGCCACGTCAGGCCGACTTCCGATATAGACAATTTTTTTTATATTGGTGCCAATCCAATGTCAGACCGATGTATCAGTGCACCTCTACCAAACTGTGGTCAGCTGCTGGGCAAAAAGATGGCAGCAGCAGTGGTGGTGGGGAAGCCGAAAGGGTAACGCCTTGCACCTGAGTCAGCAGTGTGCACCCAGCTCAGTGCCTGGTGGCCTGGGGGATGCAGGTAATAGCTCTTGGGGTGGAGAGGGTGAGCCCATGCTGTGGCACACCACAGCAGTAGCCAGGGCTGGCCCGGGTGCCACTCTGCAGTGGCAGGAGCTGCTTCCCCAGTTGCATGTTTGACTTGGCTCGGCTCGGCTCTGCTCTGGGCTAGCATCAGCACACTTGAGCCCCTTCCCCGCCCCCCCAGCCAAGTTTCCTCTGCTTGGTGGGCTCACATCCTGGATGGAGCCACTGCCATCATCCCTCCATGTGTGTCCCCAGCTGGGTTTAGGGCTGTTTTGTTCCCTTCCTTCTCCCTAATCTGGCCTTTGTTCCTGGGCTACCCCAACTGAAAACCTGGCCCTGGCAGCTGGGAAGGCCATAGTGGGATTGCCCTCTGGCTTGGAGGGGGCTCTGGGGATACTGGGCTGGGCTGAGTTATGAGCAGGGGGGAAAAGCTGGACAGATCCCAGCTGGGGTCTGTCCTAGTGAGACAGGGGAGGGAGGGGGGAATTAAACCCCCTTCTGTCCCCCATTTGCTTGAGGCTGCTGCCAGGGCTGGCATGCCCCCCGCTGCTTGTGCAAGGTGGGGGAGGAATGCCTGACGGGGGCTGCTCCATCCTGGTCAGGCAGACCCCGGCTGAGGTCCCCTGCAGAGAGGGGAGGGAGGGGGGAATAAATCGCCTCCCTTCCCCCTTTGCTTCAGAGGGCCATTCAGACTGGCACCTGGCCATGCCCCAGCCCTTCTCAGGCTAGGGAGCAGAGTGGCGGGGTCAGCCCTGCTCTCTGGAGCAGACAGCACAGCCCAGTCCAGAGCTGAAAAGCATGCTGGGATGCTGGGGGACTCTGATTTAACTTAAACCAAGAAGGGTTCTGGGACAGAAGTTTCATAAACCGGCCTTACCTTAATCAGTTAAATCTGATTCTACATTCAACTGGGTTTATCTTGCATCAGTTTTGGCCATTTTGAAACTGGTTTACGTGAACAGAACTTTTGTTCCATTACAGGTTTAAACCAGGTTTTGTTCATCACTTAAACCGGTTTATGTGTAACTTCTGTCCTAGCCTTATTGTTTTCTTGTTTCTGGTAACCTGGTAAAGCTCATATTTCTGAAAGAACAGGTAAATTAGTGGCTAGATGTTTGCAAATGCAGTGATGGCTTTGAGTTTGCATAAGTATTGACAGAACCTCATTTAGCTGGCAGAATTTTTATTGTGCTGACATGTCAAGCTTGGACTCTGTTTCTGCTCTTTGGTCCTAGGCTGATCATATAGCTTTAGTAGTTAGCATGAAATACTTTTATTTATTGACTCAGTCCTTAATCTGGAAACCACTGAATACAATAAATGTGGAACCACCTTCAGGCAGGGTGTAGAAACTTCTGAGCTGAGACATACTTAATGGTCTAAAACAAAGGTCCAGAAAATATTTTTGTTAGTGTTTCTCACACTCACTTATTATAGAATTTCTTGGCTTTTTGTGTATTTGGATGTCACTCTGCAAACCATTAGCAGTATGGAAGGTTGGAATGTGAGGAGGAGGAGAAAGGGTGCCTTGCTTTACTTACTTTTCTGAGAATTGCAACACAGTTTACTCATTCCAGGTAATATTTTGTTTCCTCTATTGTTGCTCAAGTTTGGCTAATAGATTTATCACAAGCAGGGCTGATCTACAAAGATCCATAAACTGAGCTGTGAGTTACCCTGCCATATGGTTTTGGGTCATGTTTCATTAAGATCTTGAGCAAAAAGATGAGGATTAATGTCTGAAGTTGCTCTGAAACAACTCCTGTGTGTCATTCAACATTCAGGAATGCTGCACAATGGGCATAATGTTACTCTATGTATGTAAATTTTCCAGAAGAGTATAGTTTATTGGTTACAGCAAGGCACTGAGAACTGGGACTATTCCTGTATAAAATACAGATCTTATTTGTGCACCTGGCAGTGGTGTTGAGTTTTAATTAATTTTGTAGAGTACTTCTGATGGCACCAAATAAGTTTAATAAATACAAGCAAAAATCTCTGTTAGAAGGGAATTGGTCTTGCTCCAACTAAGCTTTTTTCTTTAGATAGTTGCAAAATACTAGCAACATTTTGACAGGAAAAAAGGGATTTATAATTAATGGAGAGATACATTCTTAGTGATCTAAGGAGGATCATTAGCTAGAATTACTCCCTCTTGTCCACCATCAGTTTCTTTTTTTCTTTTCCGTTTTTTAGACTGATGAATTGATTTCCCACCCCCTGTCACTCATTAATATGATTTTTGTTGCTGATTTCTTATTATGGTAATAATTCTTTCTTCAGACATAAGCTAAAGCATTTTGACTTGCATTTGCCAGTTCTGGAAGGTTTTAATTTCTAAATTATGTACAAGTAATGGGAAACTACTAACCCCCAGGAATGGCAGTAGAAAAACTTAACAGTGACTTTCACACTGTGTATAATGATAATCTGTGAAATGAATACAGGTAAAATGATTTTGTAAGAATTTATGGCAAAACACTTGTAGAAATAAGTTCTTAGCGTATGTGCTTCTGCAGAGCTGAAGCAGGTGTTCTTCCCACCTGGGTCAGAATGAAACATTTAGACAAAATGATGGTTTTTCACACTTTAAAAAATCACTTTAGCCCTAAAATGTGGAAATGTCACTTTTGAAATTTCCAAGTAACAGCTCTTTTGTTCTTATTTGTAGGCCTTCAATATCTTTTGGAGGATGGCTTCTACCCTATCTGGATTGAATAACTCATGCTGTAGATGACAGTCATCTTCTGTAGATAAAGAAGTGGGATGGTTGCATTGTTCTGACGAGGGGTCCTGGACTGTAATTCCACAAGGAAGAAATGCAGCTTCATCTTCATGCCCTCTCTCCCATATTTAATGCTGCTGGAGAAGCCCAAATCCAAGGTGAAGAAGTGTCACTTCTAGTGTATAAACAAATGTATGCAATACCATAAATATACAAATGTACTTATTACTTTTTAATTTACTTCAAGTTCTGTTAGTAATTGCTTAATTTGTTATTACAAGGATATGTGTAAAAAGTGACATACTATATCCTATTCATATGTATGTGGCTTATAAATGAACTACCTTCTCCAACTTAGCAGCATATTTCAGTTTAGCTTCCTTCAGACACGCATCCACATTTCTGTTTTTTTTTCTTTGTTGCTTCATTTTTTAGGGTGTGGGGAGAGGTTTGTATTTTTTTTTTGCTTTGTCTCAAAAGGCTCTGTATATAGTGGGAGGTGAGGCAACACTGGTCTTGGCAGAACACCACAAAACCAAGAGAGTAATTAAATGACGCAAGCCTTTGATTATTTTTCTCTCTCTAAAGCTTTCTGGCACGGCTGGGCATTCCAGTTGCAAAAGAAGGAACAGGAGAAGAAACTTCTAAAGATCTGCACAGAGTTAGAAGAACTATAACTGAAAAGTTTTTACTCCAGAGAGAAGTGCTTTTATTTTAAGAAGTTGTGAGATCTCTACTTTTTCTAATTTGGAAGAGCTGACGTTGTCATTACTCAAGATAGAAACAATTGAAAGGGGCTGAAAAATTGTATTTTGATGTTGGTGTATCTACTCTTTTACTAGTTGGATTTTGTTCATTATTCTGCAGGAGGATTACAAAAAGGATTAAGAGAAGTCTTTTTTTTTTTTTTTTTT